GATTGTTGTCTTAGTTTAAGAAATTATTACAGCCATTCAACTTTCAGCAACCACTACCCTGATCAGTCAGCAGCCATCAACATCAAGGCAAGACCCTCCACCAGCAACAAGATTACAACTCACTGAAGGCTCGTATGATCTGTAGTATTCTTTTTTAAGCAAATAAGTGCTTTTAAATTAAGATACATATATCTTTCTAGTCATAATGCTACTGAACACTAAATAGACTACAGTATAGTGTAAATGTAACTTTTATATGCACCAAAAAATTTGTGTGACTTGCTTTATTGCAATATTTGCTTTATTGCGATCATCTGGAACCAAACCTGAAATAATCCTGTACTATAATTCAATAAGTCAATTCAACAGTGTCACAGGATACAAGATTAGTATTAAAAAAATGCATGCCTATATACTAGCAACGTACAGTTAGAAAATGAATTTTAGAAATGCTTTTAGCTGGGCACAGTAACTCACATCTATAATCCTAGCACTTTGGGAGGCGAAGGTGAGAGGACTGCCTGAGATCAGCCTGGGCAACTTGGCGAGACCTTGTCTCTATAATAAATCACAAAACTTTAGCCAGGTGTGGTGGCCCACGCCTATAGTTCCAGCCACTTGGAAGGCTGAGCCAGAGGATTGCCTGAGCCCAACAGGTTGAGGCTGTAGTGGCTGTGAGTAGGCCACTGTACTCCAGCCTGGGTGTCAGAGTGAGATTCCAACTCAAAAAGAAAAAAAAATCCTCTTATAATTGTGTCAAAAAACCATAAAATTCACATTTAAGGATATATTTTAAAATTAGACATTGAAATACACATTTAACAAAAGAGATGTAAAACTTATACAGGAAAAAAACTATGTTGAGAGATATTAATGGAGGCATGATGGGATGACAAAATGGAAGAATTTCATAGTAGCACAAATTAATAATTCTGAAAATATTTCCAAAGCATTCTAGGCTTCAACAAATGAGTTAAGTGTACTGATGATAATGGGAGCTATGTTTTTAATTAACACAAAAAGGAATTACAAATATGCAAAGGGCAAAGTCTAGACAGTACCCTTTAGTTAGCCTATAATTGGAAGTAGCACTGTGAACTAACAGTGCACTTATGCTCTCTAGATAAACACAGAAATAAATATAGACATAAGAGTTTGCATGTAAGGACTTGGAAGCAATGAGACATCAGCAGCAATGAACACAAGTATTTAGATCTTGGTTTCTAAAAGGAGCTAGGGATTTTTGGGAAAAGGGTTGACTGTAAGGCCTAAGGAGGATAATGTTCAAATGAGTCTAACAAAAAAGTAGTAAATGCTCAAAATATGAAGGCAACTTGTGAAAATGACAAGGGCGTTAACCTGAATAAGGTCTCACTGGCCAAATGGGGGACAAACTGAGCATTAAAGTGATAGTAATGGACTATAACGCAGAAATTCTGTAACATAATAAACAAATCAATAAATAGAAAAGAAGAAAAAGCTCTTCCTTGTAGGTAAAATGCCAACCAATAAATATAGAAGGAATGACTGAGTTAGAAATATTAATGGTTCTTAAACTTACTAGGTAGGGCTTCATGAAGAACAGAATATTTGCAGTTTAAGTATCTCCACACAATTACAAAGAGAAAAATAGTCTTACTCTAACACTTGTTTTGATAACAAATTTGTTCCAATTGACTAATATGTTAGGAAACAATTTGCGTACTATGTGAATTTCATATTTACTGATGTGCAATTTCACCCACAAAAAAGCCAAAATGTTTTCTCTAGGTGAATACAGAAAACTGCATCAAGCTGAATCAAGCTGAATAAGAATAGATATAATTTGTATGAGTGCAAACCCAGACACACACACGCTCCTCCTAAACATCTACTGGCTAGCTACTTCAGTCTACCATATGTGCTACGGGCCACATCCACTTGCATTTGTTGCTATACTTTCCATCTAATTTCTGATAACTAGATTATAATTGCTTTAACCACTACATAATAACACACAAGCTGAACACATCCAATGCCCACTTCTTCAAGTCAACTTCAGGTCTTTTTCAAAATAAAGCATCATACTTATTCTATTTGTGTGTTACAATTAACAATTTAATGTGTAAAACTGTGCCACAATTTTGAATAGGTTCATCATTTTTTTTGTGCCACTGATGAAATTTTTGAGTATTATTATTATTTTTTGCATCAGAGTCTCAGTCCGTTGCCCAGGCTGGAGTGCAGTGGCACACTCATGGCCACCCCAGTGTTGAACTGCTGGACTGCAGCGATCCTTCTGTCTCAGACTTCTAAGTGGCCGGAACTACAGCTACTATGCCCAGTTACTTTTTTGTTTATTGTAGAGATGAGGTCTTGCCAAGTTGCCCGGGCTAGTCTCCAGCATGTGGGCTCAGGCAATCCACTTGCTTCAGTCTCCCAAAGTGCTGGGATTATAGGTTGAGCAACCGAGTCCAGCCAATTTTTGAATATTATACTCTAACTTTTTTGCCGTAAACCCTGTGGGTTTTTAATTACACAATTTTGCATAACATAGTGAGTTTTAAGGATGTGTATGTTATACTATAGCAGAACTTACTTCACAGTGGAGAAATAATCAAGCAAATAATCAGTGAATCTGGGAATAAGCAACTTTTCTGTTTGTTTGAAATTGTATCAAAATAAGCTATTAAGAACAAAGCCAACAGAGGAGTGGAGGTATAAATGAAATAATCAGTCATGAGTCAGTATATTATTGATGCTAGTATATGGGGTATATTAAGTTATTAAAATATATTGTTTTAATGGCTACATTAAATAAAACTGAATTACACAGTAATTTCCTTTTCAATTCCCTTTCAATATTTCTTTTTTAAGTTTTTTGAGTTGGGGTCTCACTCTGTCATCCATTCTAGAGGGCAGGGGCACAATCATGGCTTACTGCAGTCTCAGCCTATTAGGTTTAAATGATCCTTCTGCCTCAGCCTCCTGGGTAGCTGGGCCTGCAGGAACACACCACCACACCCAGCAAATTAAAAAAAATTTTTTTGTAGAGATGACATCTCGTTTTGTTGCCCAGACTGGTTTCAAACTCCCAAGCTTAAGTAATCCTCCCGCCTCAGCCTCCCGAAGTGCTAGGATTATAGGCATGAGCCACTGCACCTATAGTCTTTTCAATATTTCTAATTATACCAAGGAGAAAGTTGCAATATGATGTCAGTATGTCCTTAACTCATTGTTATTGCCTTTTAAAAAATGTTATCTGCTTTCAGCAAGCAACAATACAGATCTAAAAGATACTAACAGTGGTTTTGTCTTATTGTTATGTAAATTATTACTTTTCTAATTTGGCAGTGATATTATTTTTCCTTTTAGAAGATTTTGTTTGAGTAACAAAGAGTAAGTGACTGAAAGAAAACTATTAAATAACATTATAGGTAGTAATCAGATATGGCAAAAATTGTGATGATAGTATGTATAAATGCCAAAATTGGGAAGATGGTTTGTAACTTACTAAAAAATGTGAATGGTAGTCTAGTAGATACAGAGGAAGTTATATAGAATAAATGTCACTATTTAAAATATACACATAAAAATTCAGATGTAAGAGAAAGTTCTGCTTCAATCTGATGAGCAGCTACGTAAAGTTAATTGTTATAGCATAAGAAGAAAGAATAAAGGTCAAATGATCAGGAATCCATATCACATTATCAATAAATGGTTCAAAACCTCAGTGCAAAGGCAGAATGAGGTTTTTACACAAGGGAAAGCACTCTGTACTCTAGGCCGGCCGCTTTCAAAACAGAAATCATCTAATTACACCTGAATGCATGCCCTTCACAGTGTACCATGTCTCAAAAATATGTAACCCAAGTCACCGACTTTTTCAATGAGCTCTGACATCAGAATAAACTACTGATTAGGCTTAAATAGTTCTAACATACACAAATGTTTAACTTTTTGGAGTCCATTTTGTAATTTTATACATCCAACCTTTTTATCCAGTCACCTTTATGTTCATTTTCCCTGCCAATTTCCAAACCTGAAGTAAGGCAATATGATACAAGGCAAAGAAAAGTAAGGATTCTTTCCAAACATTGTGTACTGGCAAAACAGAGGACCACATAAGTTGACTTAGGGTCCTGTCCTCACTTAGACCAATTAACAAAGGTTTAAACAAGATAAAAGAAAATCTAAACCTAACTTTTATAAGCCTTCTATAGAAATAGAAGGCATATGCAAAAGGAATAAGAACTCTTACAGACAATATCAAAGCATACAGCAAACGATATACAACATATATAATATCATATATAGCTAACAATATATGTCAGTATATAAAAATATATTATAATAATGATAATAGCTAATAAGCACTGTTCTAAATACTTTTACACTCACTAACATGCAATCCTCACAACCATCTTCTGAAGTAGATAGTATTACCCTTTTATAGACCAGGAAACTAAGGAAAAAAATATTCAGGCAACATGCCCAAGTTAGAAGCAAAGCCAGAATTCAAGTCCTGACAGCTTAGTTACAGAGCATATGTTCTAAACTACTAAGCCTTGCTGCCTTTCAGTGGCTTATATTCTTGGTCAGGGGCTTTTCTAGCCAGTTATAGGGTTCTCATTCTTTAAAAAAGGTTTTATTTATATTAATGAGCAATAACTTCATATTGATTTCCCTTTCAAAGTAAAACGGAATTTATTCCAATACATTTCCATAAAAGGATGCCTAAGCAAAGGTCCATTCTTATAATGTTTCTTTCTCTTAAAACATGACAAAATTACTCTTCATATTAATTTTAAATAATTTCAAAATATATTACAGATGTCCTTTTATAAAATAAGTTGACTGCCCTATAATGACACAAATTGAAGACATTAGCAAAACTGAATGATTTTACATAATAGGTGGTAAAATTAGTTATCACTTTTTGCTCTAGTGAAGTTAAAAATTCAAGCACTGAAAGAGAGGTACACCAAGTGAATCCAAATGTTATGTTGGTTAGTACTTGCCTCTTTGAGGAAAACTTCCATATCTTCATGACTTTCAAATACAAAGGCTCTCAAGTCATTAGATGAAATATGACTTTCAATATATTTGGCATTTTTATTATCTTTCATATTGATCTAAACAAAACACAAAGAAAAAAAGTTAATTTTTATGAAATCCAAACTGATTTTTAAAACATACTTATATTTAACTTAGATTCATTTAATTAAATTTCAATACTTGAAAAAAGGGAAGACAAAAAAAAGAAAAACTTGGTATCAAAGGGTCATTTTAAAACACCTAATTACCCAGAAATAATCAATACAGTACACAGTTAAACAAAAGCTAAGATTTGAATAGTACCTGATGCATATCAGTTTTTATATTACCCGAATAAAGAACTTAAGTTCCTCTTTTGGTCAACTCACTGAAAACATTTGAAACAGTCTTAGACTCCTACCTAAGAGTATAAACTTTTCTCATCTTTACCCAACCTTAATATTTTTCTTCTTAATCTTCAAAAGAACTTCATATCATACATGGAAATAACTGATAGGCACAAAAACAAAAAGAACTAAATAAAACTTTATAAAGCTAGTAAAAAGCAAAAAAATCAGCCTTCCTATGGCTTAACTGTAACTATCAGTACCTTCAAGCAAAACTCTAATTTTGTATTCCACGGCATAAACTTATTGACTTATTTGAAAAATATTAACTAATTAGGCAATTCCACATGTGATGCTCAATGCTTATGGATGATATTAAGATAGGTAAGGTAAAAAAACAATCTTAGGAAGAATATAATCTATTATTTATTGCAGATAAAGAATTATGTTGAAAGCAGAGCATGATAAAGTCACCATTAACAGAGGCATATAAAAAGTACTATCTATAAAATTTTAGGGGAGAGATAAAATTAGTTACTACTTCCAGCAGATAGAAATAAGCTTTCTTGAAAAAAGAATAAAAGGGGAGGTATTTATGTACTATAATGTATTATGAAGCATACTAGCTAAAAGCTAGGGCTCTGGGGTCCTTTCAAAACATACATGTGAGTTTGCTCAAGTACTACTTAAGTCTTAGACAGCTTTACTTTTATGTATAAGATGGATCCAGTAGAACAGTATATACCTCATAGAATTAAATGCAGATTAAGAGATAATACAGGGTCAGACTCGGTAGCTCAGCCTGTAATCCCAGCACTTTGGGAGGTTGAGGCAAGGGGATTGCTTGAGCCCGCAGGTTCGAGACCATCCCAGGCAACTTGGTGAGACCTTGTCTCTATAATAAATAAAAAATTAGCTGGGCATGGTAGCACATGCCTGTAATTTCAGCTACTTGGAAGGCTGAGGTGGAAGGATCACTGGAGCCCAGTAGTCCATGCTGGGGTGGCCATGTGTGCTACTGCACTCCAGCCTGGACAATGGAGTGAGATTCCAACTCAAAAAAAAAAAAAAAAAGAGATAATACAATAAAAATAGTAAAGTGCTTGTTACATAAATGTTGGCCAATATTGCTATTTTAAACTACAGAATATCAATCAATGTAGAAAAATGAGAAAAAGAAACACAGCAAACAAAAAATTAAAACCACATAAAATACCATAATCCAGACATAAACACTATAAAGATTTAGAGTCTATTGATTCACATCTTTTTGGTACTAAATTATTTTATTGGAAGAAATGCTACAAATAAAATGTGGGTGTTCACTAAGACTTATAGAAAGGGTAAAAGTAACTCCAATATGACCATAGAAAGTCAGTTTAATAAAATAGAGAAGCCAGGCTTGGGGGCTCAGCCTGTAATCCCGCGCTTTGGGAGGTTGAGGTGAGTGAATTGCCTGAGCCCACGGGTTCGAGACCCGCCTGGGCAACCTGGCGAGACCTCATCTCTACAATAAATAAAAAAATTAGCCGGGTGTGGTAGCGCGTGCCTGTAGTTCCGGCCACTTGGAAGGCTGAGGCGGAAGAATCGCCAGAGCCCAGTAGGTCAAGGCTACGGTGGCCAGGAGCATGTCACTGCACTCCAGTCTGGGCGACAGAGTGAGACTCCAACTCAAAAAAAAAAATAGCTATAGATAAGGCAGTCTAGGACTTAGCTCTCATTATCACATTCTCCCAGGGTGTATTTATCAAAAATATTCTGCCACATGAGATCCCAAGGCACTCATTTTGTGTAAATTGGTTACGTAGTCATTCAATTCTTTGATAGCTTTCACCTGCTCATCCAGGCAATAAGTTTTAAGTAAGTCAAACAAGTAAGGGTCATTTTGGTCACTGGTCAGTTTGTGTGGCTCTAGTAGTCACTGATTCATGCTTTTCTCTAAGTGTATTGCACACTTCGTTGCATAATGGAGGTTTCCCTGATACCCTGAAGAAAGGTTTAGCCACCTTGCTAGTTCTGCAGCTTCCTCAGGATGCTGCAGAACTTAGGATGCTCCCTATTCTCATAAGATTGGTGAAGAAAATATTTGCCAAAGTTTTCCAAAGAATTTCAATTCTGCAATACTTCACAATTAAAGTAGTAAGATACAGACAGCCAGATACAGCACTCCAAGATGATCTGGTAGTTGACAATAGCCACCTTTCACAATTTAATAAAAATTTTCTATACCTCTTATTCTATAACCTATTTTATGATTCATTAACATGTCATAAATGTCCTTTTATATTAGGAAACAGAGCTTCAGCAACATTTTTAATGATTGCATGGTTTTCTACTGTAAGGATATAGAGTAATTTATTTAACCAATCAGTATTGTTGTACATCTTCTTCTTTCTGCTATTAGAAACACTATTGTGAGGAGTATATCTGTAAATAAAGCTTTGCACAATTCTCCAATTCTAGACTGAATTCTTAGAAGTACATTATGGAAATAGATGATTTATGTGACTAAAATTTTAAGTGCACTTTGCTAACTTGTCTATGAAGGGAGCAGCACTTCAACTAGACCTTGAAGGATAGGGTAAATGTGTGGAAGATATAGATGGAGGGAGGTAGTAGGAAAGGTGGAAGGATATTCTAAAAAGGGTAAAAAAGCTGAATATATCTCTGTCTCAAACATTCAAATATAATTAAAAATGGAAATACATGCTAGCTAGTAATCTGACATGCTAATAGGTGAGACCCTACAGTGACCACACAACACACAGCCCTTCCTGTCTCTGTCTTGTTTCTCCCACCCACCCAGGGCTGGGTTTGGTTAGAAGGTGGTTGCAGAGCACTCTCAGGAGAAGTAGTGTGACTAGGTGTCACAGGTGGGCCAGTCCTAAAGGGAAGAGAAGTCCTTGCTGATGGAGGGATGCAGGACAGAAACTAGGAAAGGGAAGGGGATGATAGTGGCAAGACGTTTTTCCTTTTCTGTAATTGCGGAGAACCAGGATGATTATTATTATTACTACTACTACTACTACTACTGAGAAGATGAAACCTAGCACCACCACCACCACCACTACTACTACTACTACTACTACTACTACTGAGAAGATGAAACCTAGCACTGGCAGAGGGGACCTTCTCTGCTTTTACCTTTCAGGTTTGACTCCTGGCACTGGCTTTGATACTTGAAACTTTGAGGTTCAGGGAATTCAGAGAATTTGGTAGGTACAGTTTATTGAGAAAGGGAAATTTTGGGGAATAGATTGATCACCCCAACTGACATGTTTCTGGAAGTGGGGAGAGGGTTTAACTGAGGCTATTCTGGGCTCTTGCAGTGATGGTGGGAAAGAAAGTTCTTTCCATGGCTGTACTTCTGTTAATAATCCTTTCCCCTCAAAAGAAAGATTGTGATAAAGAATAATTTGGAGTAAAAGGTCAACAAGATAGAATTAGAAAGATGTGAACTTTGCAAAGGACCATTCAGAGGTGCTGCTTTGTCCACGCTGTCTTCTCCTGCGATGATTGCTCCCACCTGCACCTCAGTACCAGTCAAATGAGCATTCTGTGAAGTGTATCATGAGCATGCATGCAGGTCACACTATGCTCTGAGGAGGGGGCAAGCTCTAATTTGTGGGAAAAGAATTAAGTTATTTGTTTCTCAAAAGAGTTATTTTGTATTTTGTTTTCTATTAAAATGCACTGTTTCAAAAAAATAAAATAAAATAAAATGCCAAGAGGATGACAAATCTAACAAAGTTCCAAAGCATTATTTTGAGCCTGGCATTTTACAAAAATGGTAACAATTATACCTGCATTATAAGTTATACTGAGGGTTACAATATTTTTTCTTATATTTTCTTTCTATTCTTATCAGATTAATCAAAACAATGTATGCATCCAAAATGGAATTTCTCTTCTTGACCTAGTAAAAATATTCTAATATATACCTGAACAAGTAGAGAATATGTTACATATATTAATTTCACTAATGTGATATAATAGAAGATAAAAAACTATATAAGTTTTAATAAAGTATAACACAAACATGAATTACAAAAATAGAACTTTTAATGAATCCTACAAGAATTTATAGTAAATTCTTGTCTTAAAAAAATTATCTGGCAAAAATAATCTTTCATTAATTTCAGGATAAGTTTTAAGTTCACTCTATGTAATATGTCATTATCAAAGAATGCAGTTTTTAACTTTTTCACCCCAAACTTATTACTTTAAATAGGTTAGCTGGTAATTATCCCCAAAATCCATGGCCACACTTCTTTAAATGATTTACTAAACAGAGCTTCACCTATTTTTTTTTGAGTTGGAATCTCACTCTGTTGCCCAGGCTGGAGTGCAGTGGCACACTCATGGCCACTGCAGCCCCAACCTGCAGGGCTTAGGCAATCCTTCCACCTCAGTCTTCAAAGTAGCTGGAACTACAGGTGCGAACTACCATGCCCAGCTTTTTTTTTTTATTGTAGAGACAAAGTCTCATCAAGTTGCCCAGGCTGGTCTTGAACCCCTGGGCTCAGGCAATCATCTCACCTCGGACTCCCAAAATGCTGAGATTACAGGCTGAGCCACCATGCAGCCTAGCTTCACCTGTTTTTTTGATGACCCACGATCATCAATAAGGGCTATCAGATATTCTATGATGTCACTAAACTATTGGCTTCATTCTCAAAATCTTCAGAATGCCCTTTTGTGGTAACAGGTGACTTTCTTGCTTATCCTCTGTCTTATATTTTTTATCAACATATTTATTTACAGTACTCTTCTATCTCTTCAGCAGAACTTAATCTAATGCCTACTATAACCTAAGAAGAATATGTGCCAGAAGTAATCAGCTAACCAAGCTAGTTTTCTACAATTCTTAGTCAATAAGTCATCAGTTTCATACCTCTTTCAGAAAAAGGTTCACAAGTTTTTATGATAGCTAATTCACTCATTGATCAAGGGTCCTTTACAAAGCTCATGTATGAATTTAGCAGTATGTCAGATACCACAAGTCTGAAAATGGAAAACCGGGGTATCAATAGGACAAAAAATTCTTAAAACAACAAAAATCTATAATAATAAAACCAACACGTGCTATCAAGATGAACAAAATCTCTTACCGTGAGCATTATGGGCTCACAGACCCTTTGCTTAAATTTGTCTCTGTTATTTCGTAGCCATAAAACTGCATCATATGTGTCACGGTATCTCTGTCTCAGTTTGTCTTCCTTTTGATTCATAAGGTTATCAAAACGTATAATATGATCATTCACACCTAAAATTAGAAGATAAAAACAAAGTACTGTTTCTCTGAAAACTTTAGTGAAATAATCTCTCAAAAATACAAAAGAATATCCTAAATCTAAAGGTTATAAACACTACTCAGCAAGTACTCTACACAATGGAAAAAACCTGACCCGAGCAAATCATTCCAAAATTTCAAAACACCTGGGATAAAACACAATCTTAAAACTATCAAAAATAGTAATAAAAAAGGTTACCTACAAAAAAACCAAACAAACAAGAAAAACACTAGATTTCCTATCAGAAGACAATTGCAATAAGTCCTAAAAATTCTGGAAGCAAAACTATTTTCTACCTAGAATTGTATATACAACAAAACTGAAAAAAAGGGGATGATGAAATGAAGATATTTTCAGGGGTGCAAAGACTCGGAAATTAATGTTCAAATATTTCTTCTTAGGTTACCTGAAGATGTGTTTTAACTATGGTGTAATATAAGAAAAAGGAAGATATGGAATTCAGGAATATGTTTATAATACAGAAAAGGTATAAGGGAAATCCCAGATGACAGCCATGCAGGAATTCTCGAGAACAATCAGTTTAGAAGGAAGGAGGAGGATGGAAGGCTACAGAACTCAAGAGGATGTCTGATGAGATAGCCCCCCCCACTTCAATTTAAGGAAATACTAAAGCATACATTTAAAAAGTAACTAAAACCTTTAAAAAAGCTATTGATGAAAGAAAATTTAATCATAATGCACTACTTGGCTCAGCTATACACAAATTTAATTGCTGTAATAATACTTAGTTATTTCTAAACTTCTATAATTAACCCATAAGTAGAGTATAGAAAACTTATAGTTCTCAATAAACATAAATGTTTTCAGTCTTGAAAATATAAAAGCCGGGCTCGGTGGCTCAGCCTGTAATCCCACGCTTTGGGAGGCTGAGGTGAGTGAATTGCCTGAGCCTGCGGGTTCAAGACCCACCTGGGCAACTTGGTGAGACCTCAGCTTTACAATAAATCAAAAATTAGCCGGGCATGGCAGCGCATGCCTGTAGTTCCAGCTACTTGGAAGGCTGAAGCGGAAGGATCACCGGAGCCCAGCAGGTCGAGGCTGCGGTGGCCGGGAGGGGCCACTGCACTCCAGTCTGGGTGACGGAGTGAGACTCCAACTCAAAAAAAAAAAGAAGAAAGAAAGAAAGAAAATATAAAAACCAGGATACAGAGAATTTAGAAGGTCGGAATGGAGAAAAGTAAAAAGCAAGGATGGGAAGAAGTATTCACACTTTTAGTTTACAATGTATGAATTCAAGCAATATAAACAATTGTTAAATGGCCAAAAGAGAGATATGTATATTATTTATAACAAAAATCAGTATTACTAATATAATAATCTCATTCAAGGAATTACAATAGGGGGATGTTATGAGGTAAAAATCTACAACCAATCATTCAATATAAACAGATAATGTCTAAAACTGATTACCCAAACAGCAGAAAAATAAGAATATGTGAAATGGCTATTAAAAAACTGCTAAAAGAGATAAAAGTGCTTACTCTCGAGTGGATCGTGTGGTGGAAAAGGGGTTGCACCACTCTTCTCTTATAGTTCTTTTTTTAGCCATCCACCTCTAGTACTTTGATAAATATATAAAAATGAGTTGTTGTTTTTTTTTTAACTGATATTACAAAGACAGAACATAAGATCTCCTCTATCTGAATAATGCTACAGATCTACTCACATGGTCTACAAGAAAGAAGACCAAAGATGAAAGTGTCAAGGAACTAAGCTAAAGAAATATTATGAAGGCTAGAATAAAGAGCTTGAATCTGATCTGAGTAATAGCCAATGACTCTGTAAAAAAAATAAAGCTAAGCCATTTTAGAGAAGTAAATCAACTGCCATAATGTGATGATGGTCAACATCAAGGTACATGACAGATACAGGTAATTAAGGCATAAAGTCAGAACTAAGCAGAGCTTCCTCAACACAGAAATTTCCTGAATATTAAAAAAAAATTTTTTTAAATCCTCAGAGGAAGAAAACAGCTCATCAACAGATATATCTCCATTTTATAAACATTTCACCCTAATTGTAAGAAAACTTACTCCTTTTTTCCTTCTCGAGCGTTTCCTTCTCTCTTCGCTTATCAATGATCTCTCCTTCACATGATGCCTTTTCATCTTGAACGCACCTCAGATCATTTGTAATGGCATCAATCTGGGGCTGAAGATTCTCACAGTTTTCTGTGGTCTTTAGTTCATTTTGCAAATCCTCTATCATTTTGCGGGTATTACTTATTCTCCTCTGTCGGTCATGCTCTTCATTTTGCTTTACTGTTAAGGCCTGCTGAAGCTCCTCAATCTAATAAAACAAAGGTAGGTTAGTACCTGAGATTGTTTTTCTCCTGGTTCATAAGACTTCAGTAATAACATAATTTTAGAAACATAATCTAAGAACATGGGTGTCTTCTTCATAAAAGTTATACTGTGTGAACTAGACTTGCAGATTACCAGTCCTAAAAGACTACCTTGTATCTTTGTTTTATACATTCACTAACATATCCCAAATTCCTAGAGTAGTACTTAGCACTCATTAAACATTTGCTGAATAAACAAAATATTTAAAAAGCCAAACAAACTTCTAAATACTTACACAAGTACATACTACACACCATAAGACCAAAATTAAGTCACCTGGTATAATTTACTATGATATAGTTTCAGTAAATAATAGAAATTATGATGAAGATTACAAGTCACTCTATTATGGTTTGAACATCCCTAATCCAAAATCCCAAATTCTCCAAAATCCCAAACTTTTTGAGTGCCCACATGTCACAAGTTACCCTGAACACATCATTTTTTGCATTGTATTAAATACACTTTTTTTTTAACTGCTAAATACTTATGTGTGAATAAGTATTTTAAAATGATGGCTAATTGGTAGTATATAAATTCAGAGACAGGAATGAAGGTGATGCCAAATAACCACAGACTGTCCACATGGGTGGCTGAGATAGTGACACCCTTGCATTCTGATGGCTCAATGTATACAAACCTTGTTTCGTGCACAAAATTATTTAAATAAAAACTAGAAACAATCTAAATACCTATTAACAAGTGAGTGGATAAACAAATTGTGGCCACAAGAAAAGTGAAAAAGAAAATATACTAAACTGAGTGAAAATAAAAATACTATATATAAGAATTTGTAGGGCACAGCTAAAGCAATGATGAGAAGAAAATTTTATAACACTAAGTGCATACATAAGAAAAGAGGAAGTCTCGAAGCAGAAGCTTCTACTTCAAGAACCTAGAAAAAAAAGGGGGGCAAAACCAATGGAACAAAGAGCCGCTTCCTCGAAAAGATCAATGAAATTAGAAAACCTCTGGCAAAAAGGTTTTGCTACCTTAGACAAAATGAATAATTCCTCAAAAAATATAACTACCACAACTTACCTAATATGAAATTAACTATTTGAATAGCCCTATAACTAATAAAGCAGTTGAATTCATAATTTTAAAGCTTCCCTTGCAAAAGTCTCCAGGTCAGATAGTTTCACTGGAGAATTACACTGGAGAATTGTTTAAAAATAATTAACATCAACTCTACACAATCTCTTCCAGAAAGAGAAGAGGAGGGATCACTTCTCAATTCATTTCATGAAGCTAGTTATTACCCTAATAATAAAAACAGAATATTTAAACAAGAAACTACAGAAGAATACAGTTCATAAGTACAAACACAAAAATTCTTTAACATAAAATCCAACAGTAAGTAAAAACAATTATAAACTTATATACCACAACCAAGAAGTGGAGTTATTCAGGGGTGTACAGTTGATTTGATATTCAAAAATAAATCAATATATGCCATCATATTATAAAAAATTTGCTAAAATTTTTATAAATCCAATATAACCCATCATATGCTAAAAAAATTATACAATCATACTCAGATGCAGAAAAGCATCTGACAAAATTGAATACCCATTCATCATAAAAATTATCAGAAACATAAAAATATGTATAGAGATTTGATGAAAAGCATTTATTTAAAAAAAACATTGTCAACATATTTAATGGTGAAAAACTGAATGCTTTCCTCCTGTGATCAGGAACAAGACAAAGATGTCAGTGCCCACCATGGTGCTAATGTTCTAGCCAATGCAATAAGGCAAAAAGAGGAAACTAAATGCACACAAATCAGAAAGGAACAATAAGGTTTGTTTCTATCTGTGGATGACACATTGTTTATGTAGAAGATTCCAAGAAATCTACTAAAAAAGAAAAGCAGACAAACTGACTGTGGAAATCTAACAAAACATATGGAAGACTTGTATGCTGAGAACTACACAATGTTGATGAAAAAGAAATCAAAGATCCAAACAAATGGAGACATACCATGTTCATAGATCGGAAGATTCAACATAGTAAAGATTTCAATTCTCCCCAAAGGTTTAATGCAATTGCTATTAAAATCCCAGCAACATTTTTCTGTAGGTATAGAAAAGATTTGGATGTCACCAGAAAAGGTAGTAAAAAATCTCTGGGAATCTTCTTCTTCATAAAAACAATAAAAACACTGACAAAAATTGTCAAAACTGACTCCTCACTCCATTTCTGTAGTAGTCTTGAAAACTAACAGCCCACAATCACAGTGAAAACCAGAAGCCTAGCAGTCATTAGAGAGGAATAAACAGGTTTGGAGCTCTTTTTTTTCTTCTTCTAAAGATGAGGTCTCACTATGTTGCCCAGGTTACTATCAAATTCCTGGGGTCAAGAAATCCTCCTGTCTCGGTGTCTCAAAGTGCTGGGATTACAAGTGTAAACCACCACACTCAGCTTTATGAAGTGCTTTTAAATCCTCATTCTCAGGGAACTGTCATCATCTGGCCTGCCTGGCAATTTCCTAGAAAACTTTACTTGCCAGGCTTGTCTTTATTTGATCCAACTCACAGCTTACCCACAGTAAAATGGCCTTGTTCCTTGATATGTCTGTCAAAGACAATCAGTGGCAAATGTTTCATATCACAGTTGCCTGAAACAGGATAACAGTTGCAGCAAACAATAAGCTAACCAAAAATCTTTTTTAAAAAAAGCTGAGGAATGAGATGTATATATGAAGTTTTGGAAGCTCCTGGGAATCTAGAGGGTCACATACATCACCAAGACTGTGTGCAAGTCTTGGGCTGTGCGCATGCTCAGAAAGAACTGTGAAGGCCCTAAGCTGTCACCTGTGTCTTACCTTGAGGCTGTGTGCATATAGAAAGGTGAAGGCTGAGTCAGAGTTGTAAACTAGCACTGAATATTAACCAAGTAGTTCAACAATACAAGGAGCATTTATTTAAGACAAATGACTAATCTCAGTGAAAAATGTGAATACTGCCTGGCTGAAAGTTGAAGGCATGACTCAACATACACGTAGAGACACTTAACAAAGACTGAAGACATCCTGGTTTCAGACATTTAAGAAAATATCATTCTATTCATTAGCTGATGACTATCTTAACTGAGTAGTGATTTCAGTAGCTACATATGATATCCAAGAATACAGACTTTACAGAATTACGAAACAATATTACCATCAATTAATACAATATGTTATTTAAACTATCCAGTTTTAACAGAAAATTGTAACACATTAACAGAAACAAAAAGGAATGACCCATACACAGATAAAAAGGCAGTCGACAGAAAAATTCTCTAAGGAAGTCCAGAAATTGACTTATAAGACAAAGGCTTTAAAACAGCTATTTTAAATATGTTCAATGAACTAAAGGAAACCATGTTTAAAAAACTAAAGTAAGAGAACAATGTCTCACTGAATAGAAAATATTGAATTATAAAAAAGAACCAACTAGAAAAATATGAAGTTGAAAAGTACAGTAATTGAAATGAAAGATTAACAAGAGGTTGAACAGCAGATCTGAACAGGCAAAAAAAAAAAGAATAAGTGAGCTTGAAGACAAATCAATTAAGATTACCTAGTCTGAGGAACAGCAAGAAAAAAGAATGAAAAGAAACAGAAGCTCTGAGATCTGTGGGACACCATCAACAGATCAAAATATGCATAACAGCAGTCTCAAGAAAGAAAAAGAGACAAAAAGAATCTTTGAAGAAATATTGGTCAAAAACTTTCCAAATTTGATGAAAAACATTAACCTGCATATTTAAGAAGCTCAATGGATTCCATACAGGATAATATTCCATCAAGGATATTCCCATCTAGAAATGTTATAGTTAGCAGCTGAAAATCAGACAAAGAGAAAATTTTGAAAGCAAGGAAAAAGTGGCTCTTCATGTACAAGATCCTCAATAAGATCAACAGTTGATTGCTTGGAGAAACCCTGGAGGTCAAAAGGCAGTGGGATATCTTATTCAAAGTACAGTACTGAAAGAAAATCAATAATTCTATATCCAGCAAAATTATCCTTCAAAAGCAAACAATAATTTAAGACATTCCCAGACAAATAAAAACACAAAATTTGTCACCAGACCTGCCCTACAAAAAATACTCACAGGTATCCTTCAGGCTAAAATGAAAAGACACTAGACAACTCTGAATTTACACAAAGAAATCAAAAGCCCCAGTAGAGGTAATCATAAACTTAAAACACACAAAAAGTGTGAAACATAAAATAATGTTAACCGAGGTAAATGTAAAACACAAAATAAATGCATTCTGTTCTTTGTAATTCTTTTTTTTTTTCTTCCTATCTGATATAAAAGAAAATTGTTGTGGTATAATAAAAATATATGTATACTTAGTCTTTGTCTCAGGTTCCTGGCACAGAGTTCTTAAAATTCTCGGAATGTTTCTTAGTGACAAGTGTATCTTTTGTTATTCATAATGAGTCTCTTTCCACAATAACTTACATCAAGCTTCAGAATGAGGGCTGGCTGCCTGAGTAGAGGTTTGAAACATTCAGCCTCATCCACTGATCTCAAGGAAAGGAAGAAGGCTGGAGACTGAGTGAAATCACAATCACTAATGACCAATGATTTAATCAATCATGCCTATGCAATGAAACTTTGATAAAATCTCTCCCCCCAAAATTTTATTTTTTTTTAATTTTAAAGATGTGAGGTACAACTCAGGATTAGGGATACAAGTGGACATCATACAGGTAAAGTTTGGGCCTCCCTCTGGTCCCTACTTTGCCTGGTTTGAGATTAGGTACCCTTACTGATGCTGTGTTCTCCCCCCAACCAACCGCCCCTGATAAAATCTCTTGAACAAGATTTGGAGTACTTCTGGGTTGGTGAGTGCCAGGAAAGCAGCACAGAGAGAATCAAAGTGCTGCATCACCCCACATCCCATCCCTTGTCTTCTATGCATCTCTTCCATTTGGCTGTTCT